CTTCTGCTGCAAAGAGAATAAAAGACGAGGGAGAGCCAGTGAGGCAGAGCCAGTGAGGCAGCGCCAGTGAGGCCGGAAGCAGCGCCAGCGTGAGGCCCCCCAGGGTGCTCCCAGTGCGCCAAGACTGCTGAGCCATTCGACTGCCCGTATCCCTCCCCGGGCCTCAGGGGCTGAGGTCCAAAGTGGCACCCAGCCCAGGGGACAAGCTGGGGATCCTGGGGTCGCCTTGCTGCCACCAATCTGTGACTTTGGGCAAAGCACCTGGTTCCCCTGGGCCTGTTTCCCCAGCGGCTAAACCTGGGTGAGGACGGCCCCTGGCTGCCTGCTTCGTGGGAGCATGCTGGGAGGGGAGGGGAGCTGGAGAAGACACCCCGGGGTGCGGGCACTGGGTGTGACCTTACCTGGGGACTCCTGGGGGGATGCCAGGGGGTACCCGCACTGGCCGGGACGGGATCTGCGGCGGGGCTGAGAAGGGGTCATTGTTGGCAAACACCTGGGGTCCAGGCCGGGAAGGGATGGGGGGCGCCGAGAAGGAGGCTGCAGCCCCCACGGGCACAGGAATCAGGGGGGGGCCCTCCCGGAGTGGGGCCCCGCACTGCGGGTGGCCGGCCAGGTGGGTGCATGCTGGACACGGGTCGGCGCTGTGGAGTGGGGCTGTGGAGGGACGAGGGGAGGCTGTGAGTGGGGTCCCCCAGCCCCAACCCGAGCGGACCCCTTCCAGCGTCCCTGGCAGACACTGCCCTAACCAGCCGCACCCGGGCCTCCTACCGGAGGCTCCAGATCCTTCCAGAGCTCAGCTGAGCCCTGCCTAAGGGACTCCAGGCCATCCTGGGGCTGCAGCGGGGCCACTGCCCCAAGATTCCCTGGCCAACCCTCTGCCACAGCTGCCACCTGCCCGTCACTGTTAGGAGTCCCGGCCCGCTGCTCCGTCACCGTGCCAGGAGGCTTCTGTGCCCGCTGCCTCCCCGCCTGCCCTTCTGTGCCCCGGAAGACGAGCCCTGTAGCCAGCGCTGGCTCTGATCAGCACCCGGGCGCGTCTGTCCCCTGGGTGTGGCAACTTCGCACCTGTGGCTGGCGGTGGTCTGCAGCCAGGTGTCATCGACGGGCGGGGGCACGGGCGTGGACACGGTGCTGGTGCTGATGTCGCCGATGATGGTGAGCGCCTCCTTGAGCGCGTGGTACATTCGCAGCATGTCGTCCCGCCGCTGCGCCTGGTCGGCCGACTCCTCCATGAGGCTGCTCTGGTCAGCCGACGAGTACAGGTAGGCCAGCAGCTCGTGGTGGATGAAGGCCTTGGTCTGCGGACGCGGGCGGGG